CCTACCCATAACCACGGCTGTCTCACAACACAGCAAAACAAAATAAACTTGCTTATGATCATCCACTGGAAGAAGAGAATGACGGAGCCGACGTTTTTATTTGGAACCAACAGACTAACTACTGTTTGAGCCAGGGGTTCAGGGACAACCTGGGCAACCGAGAGAACCTGAGTCTCTTAAGACAAAACACCCTCAACAAAAAAAAGTAAGGCACAGACTAGAAGAAAAGATTTGTAAAATATATAAATGATGAAAGATGGAATCAAAAATAGAAATGGATCTTACAACTCAATAACAAATGGACAAAAGAGACATTTATGCTGATGGCCCCAAAAGGGCTTCTGAAAGTCCTGAACATGCAATCCTTTAAAGTTGCTATATATCGTTGGAGATAAGTTATGACCTCGTGGAGTTCAGTACATGGAAAGATACAAGTGTTATGCAAATCTACTTTAAAAACAAACATAACCTCATTTTAATTTTCCCTTTAAATCACTTGCTTTTTCCCCAAACAACACTTTGACCATTCATTGGAAATGACTGGTGATGTAGGACAAGAAGGCAGGCGACCAGCTCAGTGGCTGCAGAGCCTTCTGGAACAAAGCCAGCAGCCCAGCAGCTGCACAAGCAGGACTCTTCACAAGGAAAGCTGTCCGCTGTTGACATAAACTGTCTTGGGGGAGAGGTGGATTCCCCCCAAGAGGTGACCGCAGGTGTGTTGGCAGGAGCGCAGGGGAGGAGGTTCAGGCTGCAGATGGGGTGGCTTTGGCCTGGGGCCAGCGCCAGCCTCCCCATGAGCTCTGGCTGGAGGTGTCTTCCACCTCCCACGGGAGTCCTTGTGCAGCTTTGGACCCTGTGGGGGTTAGACGGCAGTCTCTGTGTCCTCCATGTGAATTTAAATTTCCAGATGGCAATCTTCAGTCCTGTTAGGAAAGATGTAGGGTGCCTCCATGTGGTTTTGAAAGATGCCACTGTGCATGGGGCTGGGAGTGAGGGAAATCCATCCTTCCCAAAGCCATTTGCAGTCAAAAATCAACACACCTCAAGAGGAGTAAGAGATATTTTATTCTTGAGCCAAATATAAAAATGACCACAGTATAGGAACCTATATCGATTCAGGGAACCCAGGATAACATGTTCCATTAAGGAAGCAGTCACATAGGCTTTTACTAGTCACAGAGTAAAAGAAGTAACAATTGCATCTACTATTTGCATTTGTGGGGGACCACAGGCAAACGGGTTACAGCAAAGTGATGAAAACAACGACAATTCTGTTACAGGTTTCAGAAGCTCTCTGGTGACATTCTTGTCCTTGGAGTTGGTAGAAGACATTGGTCCACTAGAATACATTTCAGAGACTTTTCTTTATAGTCCAGAGATATTAGATCAAACATAGGGGTGGGGAATGAGTGACTGGTAAAGGCACTAAAGAAAGGCTGGTAATTGGACTTCATCTGTACTGTTCTAACTCTCCATAATTACCAAGTTCTAGCCTGTTGTTCACAACCTGTAGAGGCTTCAGCACGGGCATCTTGCTTGTTTGTTTTCTGGGAACTTCAGTTTACACAAACAATTACACATTTTTGTTTTCGTCAGTGCTACTCAGTACCTTTTCCTGACTCAGTTTTCTAGAAAATAGTGATGAGGCTCATGTGTCCTCATTATTGATTTATATGGAGAAATGAATAATCTCACTAAATTGTTACCAGAAGTGAGATCTAGTGATCTCAGAACCCTAGAAACGTACACACCTTGGAGCCAACTGCTGGGAGGCATAGCTTGTCTTCTAGAAAGACCTTGTAGCTTAAATATGTACTGCTTACCCTAGCAAAGATCATCCCCAGATACCTTAGCAGCATTGAAGGCAGCCCACGTGGTTAAGATGGTTGTGGCCTGATGATACCATGTTAAGGTAGATGGAGCTCGGGCCCACAGTTCAGCAGGAGTTTTAGATGTGTGATATGCCCTCCTTGCTGGCGGCTAAGGCAGCATGAACACAGACTCTTCCCACCACGTTCATGCAAGTTGGAGTCCCAGTGCCTTTTAGCTCAACAGACACTTGGTAATCAACCATGTGCCCTAGTCTACAGGGAACCCTGGGAGTCCGGCGGTATACATAAGACGCCAAGCTCGGCATGAAATAAGAAGGTGAAATACGTTTTTTGGCGAACAGTAGGAAAGTGAGTAAGGACAAGAGAGTGCCTGAGGCATGTGGTCGATGGACTGGAAAGTAGAGGCAGTGGCAGGCCCAGGAGGAGTGGCCATCTCAGTGAGACAGGACGGGACGGGAACAGGGGCTCATGTCAACCACATAGTCCCAAGGAAGGAGAGGTCTTCTGTTTGTCAGAAAGGTCAAGCGAGAAGAGAGAGGCAGCGACATTGGAGATTAGGACAGTGCTGCTGGTCTTCACGAGTGTGGCCGTGGGGAGAGGAAGGCAGCGGCGGCCCGCGGAGTGCTGGGAGGTAGGGAAGTGCAGTAGGGATTCGGCAGTGACAGGAGGAGGCTCTGGAGAGCGGAGAGCGTGAGAATTGCCTTCTGCTCACAAGGAGAAGACTGCTGTTTTTACGGCAGAGGTGTGTGGAGTTTTGAAGGGGAGACATTCGGTATATTTGACAGGCAACAACTATAGAATGCCAGTTAATAAAGGAAAGAATCAGGATAATCCATACTATTTTAGTAAGGAAGCAAAACTGGAATATTTTTGCATTTTATGTAAATAAAATAAGAAATTCAAATCTAATTACCGCTTAATAACCCAAACAAGAAATCGAGGAGAAAAAAGATTAGAAGTTTTTCCAAATTTCTTTCATCTTTTGTTCTCTACAGAGCACTGTCATATCTTCTCTCAAAAATTTAATGAGGTTATTCCTTAACTCAGTGGAATACTTCTGTGTTTTAGATTTTGAATGTCTCACAAAAACCCATATGCTCACAATTTGGGCTCCAAGCATAGGTACTGTTCAGGATGTGAGGACTGAGGGGAGGAAGTGAGGTCAGTGAGAAACACGTGAGAAACACACCCTGGAAGGGACCCTTAGGACCCTGCCCTCCCCATCCTTCCCTTGCTTCCTGGCCACCGTGAGGTGAACAGGTTGGCCCATCATACACTTTGACCTCCCTTCAGGGTTAAAGCACAAGGCTAACCAGCCATGGAGAAACCCACAAGGCTGACCAGCCATGGAGAAACCCCTGGGATCTTGAGCCCAAGTAAACCTTCTCTCTTAAGCTGATTACCCCGGCCATTTATTGCAATGAAGGAAAGCTAGCAAACACAAATGCCAGGTGTAAGAACTATGGATACAGAGGTCAGAGGGTAGAGAGACCTGGGGCAAGCATGCGTACTGCCTGTCAGCACAGACATGTTCAGGGCCTCTTGTGAATGAGTGAGGGTCACATGCTCCTGAATGACAGACAGTCAGTGTGTCAAACCACAGAGATAGCCAAGACATTGAGAAAGCACTGAGTGTGCATGTGTGTGTGTGTGTGTGTATGCGCGTGTGCGCGCACACGCGCGCGCCTATGCTTGTGCGTGTGCGTGTGCGTGTGCGTGTGCGTGTGTGTGTGTGTGTGTGTGTGTGTTGGACAGGACCTGAGGGTGGTGTGTGTGTGGAGATGAAGGTGAGTGCTTCTTGCTCCTTGGCAGTGAAATGTGTCATCTGAAGGACCTGTCCTACTGGGGTCTTCACAAGTGTTGTCTGTCCTCCTCAGACACAGGTGTGTTTGCGGTGGTCAACAGCCGCTCCTTGTCCTTGCTGGGGAAGCTGACGATCAGCGCTGCCTTCAACATTGTTTACATCTACACCTCTGAGCTGTACCCCACTGTCATCAGGTATGGGGCTCTGCTGACTGTGCTTCTGTGGCCAGAGATGGCCTTCCCTACTTTGCATGGGCATGTGTCAGTCACGAGAGCGTTTAGTCACCTATTACCTTAGTCACTGTTCTATCACTGTGAAGAGACACTATGATCAAGGCAATAAAAATAAATATAAATCTTTAAAAAATAAATCGGTTTCTGCTGGGTATGGTGGCTCATATCTTGAATTCCAGGAGGTGGGGGCAGAGACAAGAGGATTGCCACAGTTCAAGACCAGCCAGGGTCACCCCAACAAGACTTGTTTTTTAAATAAAAGTTCATTTCCTTATCCTCATGAGTCACATTTCAAGGGCTGGGAAGCCTCGTGTGTCCAGTGACTTCGGATATGGTGGTGATCCAGAACTCTGGTCTCACAGAAAGGTCTAGTAGACAGCACTGTACCTTCTACTTAGGAATTATTTACCATTTTGAGCTTATTGTATTCTTCCAACCCAGTATATTTAAACTGTCTCCTGAAACTTAAAGCTTTGTATGTAATTAGTTAATTTGTTCTTTCTTACGCCTTCCAGGAACGTTGGCCTTGGAGCGTGCTCCATGTTCTCCCGAGTGGGCGGGATCCTTGCCCCCTTCATACCCTCACTGGTTGGTTTGTACCTCCTGGTTCTGTTCTTCCTGGTCTCTGCTTTGGAACTCATGTGTGCTTTTGTGTAGAAAGAGGTAATGAGCAGGCTCAGCCAAGATCAGCTGCACAAATGGGAATCCTGTGCCTTTTCTGTGAGGAGCCCAGTGTCCTGTCAGGTGGATGGACTGGGCGTTTTCCCCTGGCGGGCCTGGCTTTTCATTCATCTGGACTCTATAGGGTCTGATGATACCAGCAGGCCCTGTCCACAGACATTCCGAAGTCAGTTAATTAGTTTTTGTGGTCTTCTGTGGCGTGCTGGTTCTATCCTGGCCCTTTGCATATGTTGCCGCATGTAACTGTCACAGCAGCTGTAAGAGGGAGGCATTGCCATCAGCTCCACGGTGCTTTAGAAGCAGGTTGCATGTGCGCTCACCACTGCAGAGAAAACCGGAGAAGCACACCCAGCAGCATGCATGCCCCTGTCTTCTTTGGTATTTTGGGGTCAGGAGAAACAAATGGCCATTTTCAAATCCTTTCAGCCTTAAATGCTCAAGCTCTGTGAAAGCCCTGGGCCCATGCAGCTCTCTTCTTGATTTTGCTAGGTAGAGGACAGACGTGAGCCGTGGAGCTGGGAAGGGGCCTCCGGATAACCCAAGCCCTGCTTGTGGAGCCTGGCGAGCTATTAGAGAACCCAGCTTTCGTGATAAAGGCTGTTTCTAAAATACCAGCCAGCCTTATCCCTGGGACAATAAATGTCTTAACTGATAGACAGTCATGAGATCTATCACGGGACCTTGAGCTGTCTCAGGAAAGAGTCAGACATGTGGCGACCAAGAACACTACAGCTGCATCGTGCTTTTCTGTCTTCTGAGGGTCAGAATGTCCCTTTGCTATTGAGTGTCCTTGGAGCTGCAGATGAGTTTTTCCTGCTACATCAGTAACTAAGGGTGCAGGGCACTTCCCCATTTACACTAACAAAGAGTCTGAATCCTAAAATGTTTATAACAGAGACTGGAGAAATGGCTCATTGGTTTAGAGCATGCCTGCTGTTGTAGAGAACCCTGGCTTGACCCCTGCCTCCAGATCAGGCAGCTCCCAACCGAGAACCTCGGGGGATCCGACACTGCCATGGGCACCAGCACATCCGTGTGCATACCCCCATTCGCATAATTAAAAATCCCAAAATATTCTTGTTATTATATACTAAAATAGCATTAAGATATTACTTATACTGTGGTTTTGACAAAACCTTTGAGGGCTTTTCTAGATCTTGAGAAGAAATAACCTAAAAGGTAGAGCCAACCCATTGTGTCTGGGAGCCTGTGCATTGAAAGAAAACATTGACTTACACTAAGAATACCCTTGGAATCTCTGAAGCAATTGCTGGTAGCACCATATCCCACTCAAATAGTTTAAAACTCTGGATCATAGGACTTTTTCTTTCAGTTTCTACTCCTTTAATCTTAGGCCTGTCGGTGGTAATGTTATGATACATTTGACAACTTTCAAGTTTATCAGCAAATAGTCCAGGGTCTCCCCCCTTGAAGAGAACAAGAAGCTCACCACAGAACAGACTTCTCCTTAGAGCGGAAGCTGCACTGGAGAGTTCCTGTGAACTCTGCCTGTGTAGGCCTCCCAAGCTCACAGATGGCCATGACTGTGCCTTGCCTGAGATGGTTGGTCCAAGACATCTAGTCCATATTCTCATGCATCCTTGACTCACTTGGATACATCTCTGCATGTATGAGGAAGCATGCTATGACTTCCCAGGATAACTGTCTTAGAGTGCAAAAAACCAGAACCATGGTGTATGGTGTAGTCTAGTGGGAAGGTGCTGAGTAGACAATTAAAAAACAAACAAACAAAAAAAAAAAAACCCAGCAGTTCTTGGTCACAGGACTGCCGATATCACCTGCTAAGGAACTGAGAGGTTTGTTTGTTTTCATCCACTCCCTGTACCCACAGAAGGACCTGCAGTGGTCCCTGCCCTTCATCGTGTTTGGAACTACCGGCCTGACCTCAGGCATCCTCAGCCTGCTATTGCCAGAGACTCTGAACAGCCCCCTGCTGGAGACATTTTCTGACCTTCAGATGTACTCGTACCGGAGGTTAGGGGAGGAAGCCTTGTCTCTACAGACCCTGGATCCTCCACAGGTATGGAGACACTTGTAATCATCTGGGTCTTCCACTTGGGCAAAGAGAGTTTTTGAAAACAAAACAGAACATAAAGTTCAGACTGAAAATAGAATGGAAAACAAAGATGAATTGAACAGCAGATGATTTATAGCAAAATAGAGCTGGTAATGGACTCATTAGCTTTCTGAAAACGCGCTATGGACAGTTCCTTAGGAAAGCAGATGTCATGAAGATACATTTGTTGGGGCTATATTTGTTGGTATAGTTCAGTTGGCAGAGTTTTTGTGTTAAGTGCATGAGGTGCTCTGAGGTCTGGTCCCCAGAACCACCTAAAACTGGGAGTGCTGGTACACCCCTGTAAACCCAGCACTTGGGAGGTAGAGGCAGCTGCATAGCAAATTGAAGGGTAGCTTGATCTATGTGAGACCCTGTCTCAAAACAACAACAAAACTGTCATGTGAGTATCTGGGTGGTAATTCTCATTTAGGCCTGTCGTGACATCGTTTTACTACCTCGACAAGATCTCCTTTGCCATTTCAGCCCCTGGACAAGGCCAGCACCCTGGGGAGCGAGAGTGAGGAGGAGGAGGAGGAGTTCTATGATGCAGATGAGGAGACACAGATGATCAAGTGACGGAGCCCACATTCCTCCAGAAGCAAAGCATCCTCATCCTGTGTGCCTCGGGTTCAGCCTAACCGCCAGTGACGTCCTCCGCCCACTGACATTTCCAGACTCAGGACGAGGTTGGAGGAGGTTCCTAAAGGGAGAACCTTGGCACATTGAGAGAATCATTGCTAATTTGTCCAGAGTTGGGGCTGAGCTCAGCACCATGCCTCTGGCCACACAGCTCAGGTCCACCATCCACGTGGCTGACTTGTGTGTCTCATGCTGCTTCCCTTCTCTGGGACCCAAGAGCAGGTGTGTGAAACTGCTCACAGTTTACTAGGATTAGCCAGAGCTTCCCCCAAGATCTCACCTTCCTAGTCCATTTGACATCCGCCCCTGTCACTTGCTGCTCCCCATCAGGAATCTTCTGGTACAAGGTGATGTGTCCAGAGCCCCCAGCTTTCCCTCAGCTGGCGAAATGAGTCTTCAGCTGGTTCCCACCCATTGATTGACAGTGCAGCTTGGGCCTTTAGTCTGCGATGGTTCACTAGGAGAAGCCAGAGTCAACAGGGCAGTTTGTGGGTGACAGAGGACTGGCTGTGGCTTGGTAGCTCCCTTGACACTTGGGTTGTGCAATGTTTCCAGTTAAACCCTTGGGAGATTTTTCTCTGTGAGATTCTAGCGTCAGCAATAACTTCAAAATCATGCACAGTCACTAATGAAACTCTCCAAGCTGGGGGAAGTCAGCAAGGGATGTGCTGGCACTTTTCAAATGGGACTTAAATTCAGAGTGACGATTTTCCCTCACAGTGTTTGCGGTCTTCAGTGTGCAGTGAGGGATTTGGACGGCACAGCAGGGCTTGAACCCTGCCCTATATGAACCATTACTTGTTTACTCAGATGGTGGGATGATTTTTAAAGAAGATGTTGAGTTTTCATTAAGTGCTTCCATTGCTTTCCAAATAAATCAAAATCACACTTCATACCTGTTTCTCACAAAACACGAATACTCTCAAAGAGGCATATAAGCCAAGAGTTCATGTGTGGGCGATTGATCACTTTCCCGGCCAGGGAAATTGCTGTGTGTTTAGAATGTCTGTTTATGCTCCTCATCTCTTGGGAACAGAGAGCACACAAATATGAAGGAAAGGTACACTGTGGATGCTTCTGGAAATCATGGGTACCTGCATCCTGTCGCCTCCTCCATGTTGTCTTGGCTTACACTAACATTATACCCACCTGTTCCTTTGTTAAAACACCGTTTTCCTTGATGCCCTTGATGATGGGGGAGCCATTTCTACCACTGGAGAGAACATTGGCTGTGATGCAGTGAAGACCTTATAGGTGGTCCTGTGTCTAGCTGTCAGGAAGGTTATGGAACTCCCTGCAGCATCATACCCTCAAATCTGAGCAAAGTGTGCCCCACACCCCCAAACTGTGGAGTCCTGCGTCTCTCTTCCCCGGGAAATGGAGGTCAGCTCTCCTTAGCAGAGGAAGAGAAGGCTTCCAGAAGCACTTGGGTCTTGTCAAATAGAGTGTTTAAAATAAAGCAGCAAATTAATATATGTGTAATTTTGACTGGTTTGTTCTCTCTTTATAAGAATAATATAACCCATTATAGAAAACTTGATATTAGAAGTTAGAAAATATATCCATCATCCAGCCCCCAGAGAAAGCAGTGCCGAGCTTTTGCTTCCCATGTAGATTTTTCTGCTCTCTGTTGCCACTGAGGTTCCTGCTGCTTCTGGCTAAGTAAGTGAAGGCTCTGTAATTGTGGCTCTGTGTTTGTTTTGGGAGTTAGAAGGAGAGACCCCAGTTTGAATTACATGTTGTGTAATAAGGCTGGGTTGGCTGTCGGCTGCTCTTGTTAGATATATATTTTTTTCTTCTCTCTGGATAGTCCTCTAGCATAGTTTAATAATTATTTCCACTGCCTTTGTAAAGATGGATTTTATTCCCTTGAATAAATATTGATAGTACAGAATGGGCACATGTATATATGTGCATTGATTAAATTACTGGACATCTTATTTGGTAGGTGACATACTTTGTATAGATAATCCATTAAAAGCATCTTTAAAATAACAGTAAGGATATATGAAAAAGTCATAAGGAATCATACTATTAACTAGTTACCTAAAA